TTCTTATACCCTTTGGAACCCAACTAGTTTCAACAGAACCCATGGATGAGGTTTGGGAGAATTTTCAATCCTTAGTGCACCTGTTAGGCCCCAAACCCCATGCTGTCTCTGGTGAGCTCCACCCAGGAGCAAGGTCCCATTCTCTAGGTTTCCAAACCATGCCAGTTCAGAAAAGAACCCTGCCAGTTCATCCCTCTCCCAATCTAGATTGCAGATTTGGAACGTTGCCTAAGCCAGGGGGGAGAACTGAGAAAAGGGGTTTTATTCCCACACTGCAGAGGGGACTCCGGTGCTCGCACCACAGGAAGAGGGAGATGCAACCTGACGATCTGCAATCCAAACAAAGTCTCTTAAGCCATATTAGAGCCAATGATTGTGGTACATACAAAAGGACTTTAGTGGCTCCAAGTATGAGTATGATGGCAAAAACATCAGGAAAGGCTGAAACGTAAAGCAGTTTCTTATGGAGAAGGATCAAATATAGAAAAGCCTTTTTCTAAGTACTTGTTCCCTCCTTACTCAGGGTTTGCAACAGAGCCCCAGCATCCTGAGGGAACACAAAATCAGGGGGAATGCACTCCAGTCTCCTTCCTACACCTACAAGCCATAGGAAAGTGTGCCAAAGGACTCATTATTTTTCTCTGCAAGACTTGAGACAAATTAAGACTGACTTAGAAAGATTCCCAGATGACCCTGATCAATATACCAAGATATTTTAGGGCCTTAACCAAATTTTGATCTAACCTGGAAAGATATAATGATGTTATTGAACCAAATGCTCTCCAGCACTGAACATCAGGATGCTTTATGGACAGCTGAAACCTCTGTGGATGAATGATGTATAGTGCAAGGCCCTGGAGACGCACTCCTTCCAACTGAAATGGACTCAGAAGAAACACACCCAACAGGGCAACAGGCAGTTCCCTAGCAGGACCAAAAATGGGATGAAGATGGTCACATGGGGCAATGGAAGGGAAAGTACTTTCATAACTGTGTGGTAGAGGGCTTTAGGAAAACCCATACTAAATCTCTAAATTATTCCAAACTCTCTGGTAACTCAGGAGAATGAAGAAACTTCCATAACCATTTTAGAAAGACTCAGGGAAGAATTAATTAAATATACCTCAATGTCCCCAGATTCCCCAGAATAAAAACCTAAAAAACAAATTCATAACTCAGTTACTGACATTAGGAAAAATTACAAGAAACAACTGCAAAAAGGAGACAACACTTTAGATAGTCTCTTAAAAAATGTCCCTTGTGTGTTTTATAATCAAGACCAGGAGAAGGAGGATGAAG